CCTTGTAAAAAATCTGGTCCTCTTATAGTCAATAGGAACACAAAAACGAGGAACAGTCGATACTTGAGGAACGTTCCTTTTGGATTATAGGAACAGTCAACGAAACTTAAAATCAGCGAAAAAACGAGGCAAAGACTAAAGAAAAACTCAAAAAAGCGTAGGTCAAGCGCTTAGGTGAAATGGAAACAATATTTAAAATCTGGTGAAGTTTGTTTCACTCAAACGTAGCAAAACGCGCAATGATAAATTTTTGGGAAATATATAGGAAGAAAGGGATGAACGAGGAAAGGAATTAAGGGAGGAGGGAGATAGGGAGGAGGAGTGAAGGAGAGAAGGAATCAAGGGGAATGAAGGGGAGGAGGAAGGGGGAGAGAGGGAGGAAGGAAGGAAGGAAGGAAGGAAGGGAGGGAGGAAGGAAGGAAGGAAGGAAGGAAGGAAGGAAGGGAGGGAGGAAGGAAGGAAGGAAGGAAGGATGGAAGGAAGGAAGGATTGAAGTAAGGGAGGAAGGCAGGAGGAAGAATGGAGGGAGGGAGCAACAACTACAGAAGAAGGAGGTGAGAAGTTTGGTTAGGTGAGTGACAGGAACACGTACAAAATTAGAACAAAGAAAGGACTTTTATAAAGTACCTTTAAAATCATGTCGATAATTCTTTTTGCGTTGGCGCGCTGTTCTTCTCTTCCTCCTAAGTGGACTTGGTCTTCTCTGATGATGAACTTTTTAACTCCACTTTTTTCCATTATTTCTTTCTTTCTCCGTCCCCTTGTTCCTATAATAAGTCCCACCTTGTCCTTCGGGATCTGCATTACCTCTTCTTGGTAATCCATATTAACAGCTTTATCATACCAACTTGGTTCACCATCGTTTCTTCGTCTTCGTGGGTCAACTTTGCCATGCTTTGAATCATGCGATATGGCTACTACAGAGAATAAACAGTTCAGAAAAATGTTTAAGCAATAGAACACTTTCCGTGTTTACATAGCCTCATCTAAACATCAGGAGGGTTCGGAGAATTCGAGGGTTTGCATAACTTTCGAGAATTCTCCCAACCCACTCTTCATTCAGCTTGGAATGAAGGCAGTGTTTGTCCGCTTCGCCCAAAACGAAAGCGAAAAGCACAGAGACACGGCAATTTTCAGTCGAATTGGAGATGATTGCGTGTAGAGAACGCTCGAAACAATGTGCTCTGGACATCACGGAGATTTCACCGGTTTTGATTGGTCCATTTTCTCATCACACCGTTAAACTCTAGTTAAGGGACGGATTTACTTTTTTGAGCGGAGGGGGAGGGGAGGGGGGGCTGGATTGTTGGGCAATTTCCGAAAAAACTTCCTGAACAGCAAAAACTGCTAGCTACTGCTGAAACAAAAGTAGTGCAAGGGGACTAGAAGAGCCATGGGAAATAAAGTCGAGCAAGTGCTTTTTATTCTCCAGCTCCGGTTTTTGTTGTTAAAAAAAATTCATGCATAAGCTATTGCCCACCCAAAAAACAATCATGCACAACCTAAGGTGAGAAAAAAGACTCATTCCCCAGAAAATTGCCCACCTTCTCTCCAACCCCTAAGAAAAATAATGGCCCGTCCCTCCCAGCAATCAACCAAGAGCAAACGTTTGATTACAAATATGTAAAAGTCGCCTAACAAGATACTAAGAAAAATAGGCCCGCAAGGCATGCGTGTAGCTACCGCGTGTTTTTAAAATGGTATGAAATATATCTTCACTGAATAACGGAATGGTAGGGGGGAGAGGAGCGTCCTATAAGATTACTAGAATAACAAGCTTGGACATAAATAAATTGAACATTTGTATTGACTTTTTCACAAACAAACATGTAACAAATTGGCAGCCGAGGCTCCATACAGCTTCGAAACTAATGCAAGGCGTTATTTTGATGACAGACTGTAAATAAAAGGTTTTCAGACTGTAAATAAACTTAGGTTTTAGTTCTTTGGCGAGACTAAAGTAAGGGAGTAGAAAACAGAACGGTTATTTAACTTTGTTGACAATAATGATAATAAACGTGTTTTTCATATAGTACATTGTCATTGGATATTATACCCTCGTCTACCAGCATGTAGCGCATTAATTAATACAAAATCCCTAACGAGTTCTTGCTGCACGCTGGTAATTAAGGGACGCGTGCGCTTATGGCTGTAATGGTCGATTGAAGTGGTTAAATAAATAGCTTGTGGTATAATTTTCGATGAAACACATTGCGCGTTTCTTAATTTAGGGGCCAAATGAGAAATTTTTAAGTTGGCGTCATTTGACTAAAATACCAAAATGCTATTCCCACTTTTTGGTAACATAATAGTGCTGATTGTTGTATTATTTTTAAAACAGGCAATAAAACTCTGAATAAAACAGTTTGTTCATGAAAATGAATGTTGTCAGTAATCCAGATACTTCAATTAATACAAAATTAAATCAAATACTGGAAGAAAACGCTCCGCCGTCACGTGACTAAGTCACCGAAGAAGACCAATGGTTTTGGTTGAAAAGTCTACTTCACAGTAAGATCTTTTCTTCCAATATTTGACTTAATTTTGTATTAAAACAGTTATTTGTTTTTCATCATGCATTCTGGTAGTTCCAGTAAAGTCAAATAGCACCATCACGCAAATGTTATTGCCGTGTGTTTTCACTAGTCATATCACATGATGTCTTACAACCAAAGAGGAATTTCCATAAACTGTTACTATTTGTTCAATGGGTTTAAGGAAATATCTCCAGTTCTTTAACAATAACAATGTGAGTGCCAGTGTCAACTTGATTTGTTTCTCTGGATTATGGGACGTTAACTGAGTTGACAGTGTCAAGGATGCAATGTCCACTCTAACAACTGTAACTCTAACAATGTCAACAGAACAAAGTCAACAGTACTTGTTTTGGTGCTGAAATATAGGCCTTGGTTTAAGCAATCTCACGATGGGTTTAAGGTCTGACCTTTCACAATAGTCTTATGGGACTGTCCCTTCATTTAAACCGGAGTTGACTGCAGTGGAAAAAATTGAGCAATAACTTGGGTTGACTTATCTGCCAATATTTCCTTTGGGTCTGATTTAAGGATCAACTTCTTAAGTTCGTCCAATGGTATGTCACACAAAGGTCGGGGAGTGTGTGTAGTATTTACAAGGATCTGAAGAGCCAACCTCGTTCCCAGGGTCTCTCATCTTACCCCCCCTGGAGCGAGCGAAGAGAGACCCTGGTTGGGTCTGGTCACGTGCCACTTTGATAATTGAGAACATCAGGGAGGGGTCCTCTGTAATCAGCAGTTTGTCGCGTTGAGCTTTGTCGCGCGCTGCGACCG